CAAACCCCGGATACTGAACGAGAAACCGAAAAAAAATCAAAGTGATAAAACCGAAAAAAACCTATATATCAAGTGCCCTTTTTGTATCAGTTTAAATCTTTAAAATTCAAATAAATTATAAACACAAAGATCCGTTTGCTTCATCGAAAATCACATTATTTTAGAGAATTTTTTTCCTTTCTAGTAATATTTTCTATTGTTGTACCAAAAAATATATACATATTTTCTATTGTTTGTGTGACTCTTATTGTTTGTTTCATATTTAAAATTTTCGAATTTTCCTAAACACTACCTTTTTACTACAAATCTACCACGTGCCCCATTCCCTATTTGGAACATGCAAAAATTTAAGCGGACTCATGATTTACAACCGACAATCATGTTTCTATCTTCTTATCTCTTTTTTTTTTTAACTTTTAACTTAATTCATTAATTATTATAAGGACCCTAAATTAGTTTTTAAATTAAAATTTTTTAATTTAATTTAAAAAAAAAATTTTAAATCTCACACTAAGTTAATGTTTTCGTTAAAAAATAATTAACGTATTTCGTTATTAACGTGAAAAATACAATTAACATATCTTATTATTAACGTGACGTACAGTTATTAAGTAATAATTATCTATCATAAGGTAAAAAATATGTTAGGTTTTTTTAATGAAAGAATCCATACCAAATTGAGGACTTAACCTTTCTTTTCCTCCTCCAATCTATCGTTTCATAAGAAAATAATGATAAATGAGAAATAAATTTAAGATTAATGATATAATATAAACTATATCATTTAAAATATTAAAAAGTTACCCTCATATTATTTAATAATTGATATTTTTTTTAATTTTAAAACTCATAATATTATATGCATTAACTAATTCGATGATATGACTTATATTACGTCATTAATTCTAAATTTTCATCCCAAATTTTTATCTTCCTATCATTACTCTTCATTAGAAGATTCAAAAATGCATGAAGCATACCACGCCCAAAAAGTATCCTTGAGCTATTTTTCAAATAAAGAGTAAAATGACCAAGGAAATGCATGCTAGAACAGGGGGAGATTTCCCACATGGACGTAACCTAGTACCTAAAGAATGCATTCTATGAATTGAATTAAGGCACTAGCTACTAAATTTATATGAATGTGACGGTTCTAACCGTGGTTTTCCTAGCAGTACAATGAGAACGGAGCTGATTTTCATCAATTGTGCCAAAACCTGAAAGCCGAATACCATATTGTTCCAACCTGCGGATGTCGCGTGGCAAGGGAGACTGCCAAAGACCATCCCACCAAGCTGGAGGAAGAACAGCTGTGAAAGCACACTGATTTGACTGCCCTCGACAACTCAATGGTCCAGCAAATCTGTTCCATACATGACCCCAACCCACCTGAAGCTTTAAGCCTTCTGCCAACAAATTGCTCTGGAAGCTGCTAAAGAATGCAAATTTTGAATTGGATGACTTTTCTCCTGAAAAGGGTCAATGGAACAGTGAGAACTTCATCAATATTTTGCCAAAGGAGAAGGCTTAAAAAAGAACAAGGACTAGAAATGCAGGGGCTTACCAATGCTATTTGCTGCAGCCAGTGCTGCAACTAACTGAGCATAGGTAGTCCCAACACGTCTCTGGGCTCCAGAAACAACAGCATGTTTTGCACGAGAGGCAAGAAAGAAGTCCACAAAAGCAACCCATCTAGGTGCTGGACCCCAATCTTTCACTCTAAAATCCAAGCTTGGAAGCCCATTAGTTTCATGAGAGACATTACCTCTGTAAGCTTTATAATCAAAATGGAGAACCTGAGAAAAAGTACAGCAGAATCAATACAAATAAGCAGGAAATCCATATGCTCCTTTGGTGTAACCTAGGAATGTTTTATCCAAATATTTAGCATCTCCATGATAATTCTGTCATGGAGGCTGAGAGAGCGCATGACCAAATGTGCTGATTGGTAAGGCATGGGTAAGTAAGATGGCACCATAGCACCATAACTCAAAATATTATTCCATACATCAATTTTATTACCTCAGCAAATCCACCTATATCTGGCTTTATGCTTTTCACAAGAGAGGGGGTATCAGACACTACAACCAGCCTGGGTTTTGACCTTAGCTGTAAGTTACGTGTGGCTTTTCTGATGCAGTTTGATGCGGCTCGTACAGCTCTTACAGATCTGAAACAAAATCTCATAATAATAAGTTATGCCCCTAGGAACTCATGCATATGGTTGCCCTTTTTAAGTTGGTTAAGTCTGTTTTCAGTCATCCCAGACAGTTTCATTCATAATGGTACATACATGGTTTCTTCTTTTTTTAGTAATTGTGATATGTTTTCTTCACAGCATTAGTGACACTAATGGATGATAAACAAGCAGATGACTGAGCCAAAAAGATTGCCTATGGTTACCTAAATCATTTTCATTAAGCATCATTATCAACCAACGAGAAAACTTTATTAGCTGATAATCGACATACCTATTCATAAGCATCCGCATGTGCAAGGTAATATCTGGCTCCCCAACACCGTCAAGAACCCAATTGACTGCTTGCTCAACATCTTTAGAAGGGGATATAAGCACTCTCATCAGTTCCCCAAATACATTAGGTCGAGATTGTAGGGACTCTGGCTTGCCAAATAACTCAGAAGCAACCTTCCTCATCCCAGAGTGTACATTCTTCAAGAAAAATTGAGCTCCTATAGCATCTGTAGTACCCTGAAACCTGCAGTATTATTAGAGTTAGTTATAATGTTTTAGTATCCAAAAAAAAAAAAAAAAAACCTTGGCAACCCTTGTGCCAAAAGAATTCCCACATTACCATATAATAGGTTGTTTCCACTTTCTCCAATTGCTACAGAGGGCATTTGTCTTTGCTGGCTTCTCAAAATCATCAATCCTCATTACCAAATGCCTTTTATACTTGTTTACACAACCATTTTTTCTCCAAAGATGCTTGACCTCTTTCAAGGTAAACGTGAGGTTGGAATAAGAAATGTAGTCCCCAAATGGATATTTACCCCTGAAGAAATAGAGTAAATGGATAAGCAACATTCAAAAGCATGCTTTATCGTCACATCTGTCTGTCATGGTTTCCTGGTGCCCATAGGAAAAGAATGAATATAGCATGGAGTGCCTTCTTTAACAACCTATCCTGCTAGACTCTCTAGACGGCACGAGTTTCAGTATTAAATTAATCCAACCAAGTAGAAATAATATGACCTTGATAAACAGACATGAGCTTAAGATTCAACCAAAGCAGGCAGATAACAGTAAGAAGTAGGTTTTGTTCACAGTTAAAGATAGGAAAATTTCAAAAAAGAACAGAAAGGATTGAGAAAGGACCAATATGCCTGGTTTGCCCGATGATCAAGGACCGATTCAACATTACGCTTAACGCTGCACCAGTTAACAACTTGTACATCTCATTCCCAAATCCAGCTTCTGATGATTTTCCTAACACAAAACCTTGCTTGCAGAACTGCTGAGGGGGCAGCTCACGGACGGTTGAGGCTCCTGAAACCAAGGTCAACAAGTGAGCTTCCGAGTGATTGAACAGGTGAAAGAGAAAACATACAATGCACAAATACAATAGAAAGGTCTGCCTTTCCAAAGTGCAATTAATCTTCCTTATTCCCAAAAATTTCTATAATGCATTATTGAAAACATAGAATCAATTAAGCCTGGAAAAGTTGTAAACTTGAACTCATGGTTTAATGGAATTTGCTTGCCCTCCAATTATAAACTTCTCTTCAAAATCAAATTAGTGAATTACATGTTATTTAATTGAATGAACACATGTAATTAATAAAATGAACTGAAGGAATACAAAAAAGCAAAAAGAAAAAGGAAAAAAACAATGTGAGCTAAAAAAGCGTAAAAACACATGGAGAATATATGGAGATACCATTTACAGCAAAGTGATGTTGAATAATCCTCCGAACCCTGAGACTCTGCTCCAAGAAACCACCTTTGAAAACTTTGCCCATTTCTTCCACCGTAGCGCAAGATTTGGGTGGTTTCTCGGGAGCATCTGCGGAAACGGCGTCATGTCGAGTAGAAGTAGAAGTAGAAGGAGAGCTTGAATTCCGAACAAGGAATGGAGTAGGGAAATGAGGTGGAGCAGGGGGAGACGACGGATCGACGGATCTTAGTGTGAGAATGAGCAAACCAGTGGCGGCGAAAGTTGCGCAGAAGAAGAGTAGTGTAAGAGGTGACGCTGGTTTGTTTCTGGATGAGGCGTACTTCATTTTCCGAGTTCTCTGGTTTGAGAAATTTTGTGAGTGAAAAGTGAATGAGCAACGTTGGGAGGCGAGGGGAGGAAGATTTTAGTTCTGCCGTCGGCGGGATTAATGTCGGTGGAATACCAGTTACTAGGAGTACCAGTTTACGACTGGTTGTAGGGCAGACCAAGAGCAAGAGGAAGACCAGATCAGGAATATAATTCATCTGACGGTCACCTTGTAATATGTCCGAATGTCACTCGGCCCCACACGAATTGTTTTGGTAGCAGTAGCACCGTAGAAAGTCACTGCGTAATTTGAGGCCGTTTTGGCAGGGGGCGTGTAGGAATTTGGTGATGGTATTCTCACATCTCAATTATTAATATTATATTTTTTTTTATT